GAAGTAAGCAATAAATTCGATTGTTCTTCTGATTACTGAGTACTCTCATCCAAAATATAGTAACCTAATAGGAAATATTATGCTTCACAACTAAAATTAAATCCTTTTATACTTCTTCCAGTGTAGTAGATTCAGAACATAAAAAAACTTCATCAAAGGTGGGTAAAGAACTATTTTGACCAGCAGAATAAATTTGTAAAGTACAAATAAATATGTTATCTAAAAATTACAAAAATTGTCTAAGACTATAGGTAAGTACTTATTAATTGTACCAGCAGTGGTTATAACTAGGTTTGGCAATCCTTGTTCAAATGGCCTTGGAAATTCTCTCTCTTTTAGACATTCTATATATGTTAGAAATATCAATTCAAATGATTCATAATGAACATACTTTGTCGAGCAGCAATTGTTTGTAAACATTTTCCCAAATTATCTAATGAAATAAAATCAGTTTCATCAGCAATACTTGTTGTCCTAAAATGAATCATTTTAAACTAGACTAGATCTATATTTATCTAATTCTAAAATTACTTTTCAAATCTACTGCTTTCCATCCTTTTAAAAAAATACTTCGCCACATGATTGATATCAATATCAACAAAAGATTCTGGTGAGGATTCGCACAAGGAATCGGGAGAAGATTCTGCTGTTGAAAGAGGGCTTTTTTTTGTTTCAACATCATTTACCATCCATTCTTTTTTATACTTATCAATGTCATCTTCACTCAATTCACCATACCACTCCATCATATCAAAAATATCTGTGATATTTTCATTAAGAAGTGCTTGAAGAATTAAATAATCTGGATACCCCAATGGATTTGATTCTTCATAAAGCATATTCATAGATTTATCATTTCGAACTTGGACTAAAGATTGAGAAACTTTTGAAATTATTTCTGAATCAGATTCAATGTCTGCTTCTACTTGGTCAGGCTGTGAAGCTGATTGTGTTGCATGAAATTCTTTTTTTGTTGCTGAATATTTGTCATCAAGAGAAACATCTCCTTTCAGGGCTTTTCTAACAATAAGTTCAGATTCTAAAGGCTTCCCAATTGTACTGTTCAATAAACGGAATACTTGGAGGCTAATTTGATGGTCTTCATTTTCTTTAACTTTTGTTAATTCTTCCCTTAAAACAATGAGTTGATTGGTTTTGTAATAATTAAGCTCAGAGTATTGATATCTACATCTCCAAACATAGCCTATCCATTTACTAAGAATTTTTTCGAGCTCTTCTATTTCTTTATCCAGCCTTGCTAGATTATCCAAAAAATAGGAACATGCAAGTATCATATCCCATTTTAAATACTTCATGTGACCATACTCCTTTAACTTTTGAACCACATCACAAATTTGACAAACTTTACCAAGCATCTATAAATTTAAAAATTTCAAAAATATGATATACTCTATAAAGTTTTTTGTTTATACAATAGATCTACATACCTCTTGAAATGAATTTTTGGCATCCACCCATGCTGATGTTTGACGAGTTATTAGAACAAGTTTACTTTCAATCTCATGTAAGTCATCAAGTGTCCAAAACTTCTTTGAAACATGAGAATCATCTGAAACATCAGAATCACCTGAAACAATTTCCAGCGACACTGTACATTCTTGTAAATCTTTAATAGTTGATACTGTATACTCTCCATGTTCATTGATATCACGGAGTTGCTTTACAGTTCCTTGTTCTCCAGCTCCTTGCAGCTGTCCAATGAACTGATACCATTTTGCATGGGAAATGCATGATTCCTAAAAGAAGTTAATTTATTGGAGTCATAAAGTACATGTAGATCTAGCTATATTCATACTGTTAAAGTAAGTGGATCATCATGTGTTGTTAATGATTCCCATGTTTGCTGAAAAAGCATCTGGATTGTGCTAACATCTTGAGTTGTAGTGGAGGAATCAATTTGATAGAGTAAAGGATAAAATTTTCCACACAATTCAGACAAGTCAATTAATCGATCTTGCATTTCAGCTCCTTCTCCAGCAACAATATCAAGTGCAATTTGAATAAATCTTTCCATTTCACTGACATCTGTATAACAACAGAGCCTGGCTCAGTTTATGCATACACAATTGACAATGACTGACCTTTACTTTTACTTTTGATAAATAATCTAAGATCCTTGCACTCTCCTAACTTCTTAATTGACTCTTTTACTTTCCAACTATAAAGTCTGCTACTCTTTAAAAGTAATAAAACTTTTTCATCATCATCAGTGACATATTTAAGCATCTCATTAAGAAAAGTCTGAATGCCCTACAGAAAAATTAGTAAAATTCAATTTTTTGCAATTAAAATTACTTGTTTTGAAAAGTGATGAACTATGGATTTATCTAAATCATATGCTTCCAGTGCTTCCATTAGTTGATCAGCTTCAGTTGAAAGTGCTTGAACATTGCTCCAGTCTGTTATCTTTCTGCCAATTTTTTTTACCCATTGAGTGTCTAATGATTTAGTTTCTATCTTTTCTGCTAGTTTACTTACATCATTTCCACAAATATCAACTAACAAGCCAATATTGTTAATGCATTCCATATGGCACTTTTCAACAGCTGATAAAAGCTTCTTAATTGTTTTCTCTGAATCAGCAGATTCTGTGCCCCCAAAAATCATGCTAAGTCGACTTAGTGTAATGGTTTCTCCTTTTAATTCATTAGCAACTGAGCAGCAGTGATCAAACAAAGGTACCCAGAGATCATGATAAACATCTTTTAATGACAGTTCTTGTGTTACGTTTTTAGTTAGTTGCTGCAATTTGAAGTAGAAAATATCATTTGTAAGTTCTTCTGAACTCATTATTGTGAATTGTATTATCATTGGTGTCATCATCTTTGCTTCAAATTCAGGAAATAAAGGAAAGATCCAACCATCATCAGCATCATAAATGCACAGAGAATTAAGGAAGCATTTTTTATGATTTGTTAAAAGATCACTAGCTCTAGCCAATAAATTA